CCCACCCCCAGCCCCCCCCCCCCCCCCGACCCGCCCCTCGAAGCGGCTCCGGCCCCCGCTCAGCCGAATCTGCGGAGAGAGGCAGTGGCAGCATCATCATCATCATCATCACAAGTGATGCTCGTGCTGATGGGGCTGCGTCCTGCAGGTTGGTCCTGCCCAGCACCCAGCTGCAGCGCCCAGATGGGCCCTGAGCTGGGGACTTCAGGGCACTCAGGGAGACAGCAGCCAGGAGCTGAGCAGAGCCAGGCACAGCTTTGGTCAGCAGGGACCTCACCAAAAACGGTGGGTTTGAGGCCAAGAAATTGCTTGTGAGCTTGACAGGAAACTGTCTCACCAAAGCAGGGAAGATGGTTCATTTTGAAATAGCATTCTCATTTCAGAAATGACAGGTAAGAGAGAGTTAAAAAGGATTAAAAAGCCCAAAGCAGGTGAAATGACGGGCCAGGGCAAACAGGAACACACGGCTCCATTTGCTCATTTCATCATCAGTAAAAAAAAAAATCTCTCTTGGTTGGCCCATAGTGATTTTTTTTTTCCTGGTGTTTCTGCTGGGGAGCTGGCATGGGCTGGCAGCAGGGAGAGCAGCAGGGAGCAGTTGCCCCACACCACCCCACACAGCAGGGCACCACAGGACACCCACAGCCCCTCATGGCCCCCCCTTCCACCCCTCTCCTCACAGGGGCAGTTTGGGACTCCCACCCACAAAATCCCTAAGCCCCCCAGGGCAGCCCTTGCCTCAAACCAGGAGGAAATGTGTGGGATGCCATGGGGTGCAGAGGAGAAGAGATGATGGGCCATCCTACAGCTGGTCCCATAGGCCCTCCCCCAACAGCCTGCTCCGGGGGCCCCGATCTGCCAGGCACCGTGGTCCCACGGATGCTGGCAGCCCCCCACGGTGCGCACCAGGTTCTCGTAGCCCATGTAGGGGATGTTGCAGCGGACGGCCGCGTCCTCCGTGTGCTTGCAGTCCTCCTGCGTGATGTTCTTGAAGGGGCAGCTCCAAAGGGACTTCTCGGTGCCCAGGCACTGCACCTCATTGAGGTGGATGGGACCCGTCCCTGCCAGGGGGACAGTGGGGGCTCAGGGCCCAGTGACACTGGGATGGCCATGGCCATCCTCTCCTCATGACTGCCCTTGCTCCTCGGTGTGCACCAAGGGAGCCCGGTGCACTCCTGGCCCCCACGGCTGCTACCCGGGGCAGCTTGGCTGAGTGGCCACGGTCCCCTGGAGATGCTCGGGGCAAGTCCTGCACCACATGTGACTGGCAGCCAGGCGCCCACGGGACAAGCCCAGCTATGGCTTTCCCCAGCCCAACAGAGCCTTGTGCCCGGACAAGTGCCTCGTCCGCAGGCAGGAGGTTGATGCCTGGCCCCTCCACCCCAGCACCCTCACCTTGGCCCATGCGTGCCCCAGTGAGGGCCTCCTTGGCGCTGCCAAAGCCCAGCTCGCGGCACACCACGCTGGCTGACAGCAGGTTCCAGCGGTCGTCGCAGATCGTGCCCCACTCGCTGCTCTTGAGCACCTCGACGCGGCCCTCGCCCACCTTCGCACCACCCTTCAGCCGGATCCGCGGCTGCAGGGGACCAGGGGTCAGGGTACGATACGGGACAGCGCGGTACGGCATGGCGCGGAACGGCACGGTGCGGCACAGGGCAGCACAGCACGGCAGGGCATGGGCTGGCACAACACAGTGCAGCACAGAGGTGGCCGGCCATGACACCTGGGATGCGCAGGGACAGGACACCGTCCCCACCTCCTGCCCCATGAGTTGGTCACCCAGGGACCCGCATGCCCACTCTCAGGTGCAGCCCAGGGGACAGAGCCCTCCACAGCGGCCAGCTGAGGGCCACCGCAGGCCTCGGCCCCGCTCCCTGCGGGGCTCCCCTGGCTCTGCTGCTGTTGGCGCTGCTTCTTCTTGTGGGCACTGCCAGTGGCGAAGAGGGGCCCAGGCACGCAGCTGACGACGGCGGGCATGCCAGCCCCGCAGGCGGCCGAGGCGTTGCCCCGATAGAACTCGAAGGCGCACATGGAGAGGTGCACCTCCGTCCCTGTGCAGGACACAGAGTGCAGGCGGTAGTTGAGCTGCTGCCGCTCCGTGAAGAGCCTGCAAGGGGAGAGAAGGCCCTGAGACAGGACTGGCACAGCCAACTGGCAGCGGAGGTGTCCATGGCCCCCCTGCCTGTGGCTGCACTCGCTGTCCATGCCCCTTGTACTGTCCCATGAGGAGAGACGCTCCGTGCCTGCAGGGCGCCCACCCCTCGCCGGCTGCCTGCCCCATGTCCCTGGCAGCATGGGGGGACACACATGGCGCCGGTGGCACGGACTGGGGCTCCTGGCACTCAGGCTCTCCACTGGAGCCATTTACCTCTTCTTGGACCCTACGTCCTCCCTGCGCTTTTGTTTAGGCTGAGATTTGGAGGCCAGCCTGGAAAACAGAAAAGAACCATTAAGGAGTGCGGGGCCTCAGGCTGTCACCTCCTCTAGCTGCAGTGACACAGGGATCACAGCCGGCCCTGGTTGTCACTGGAGACTGAACTGGGCACGTTGGCCTCTCAGGGAGACTCGTGCACGTCCCCTTCGTGTCACACATGGGTACAATGGCATCATCTGCTGCCAGCAATGTGACACAACTGCCCTCCACAGCAATGATGCAGTTTCCTGCCCACATCCCACCAGGAAACCGTGCCGGATGCAGCGACATCCTGTGCTGCCTTGTCACACAGCAGAAGATCAAACGCCACCGGCAACGATTTGATCTGTTGGGTACAAGTGAGGTGTGCCCATGTCCTCGTCCAGACACCAGACAACGTCACTGCCGTGCCCCGAGGGGAGCAGGACGCCCAGCAAGCACAGCACCAAGCAAGCAGCGCAGGTGGTGGGTGCTGTCCCCAGGGCCACAGGGGACGGTGAGACTCACTGCAGGCTTGCGAGGACCACGGCCAGCAAGGGGAGCTCCTCAGGCGCACCCTGAGCGGTGCGGGGAAGAGGAGGCTGCCTGGGGCCTGGCACACACGTGATGTACGTATGGTCCCACTCGGGGAGGAAGATGCCGAGCAGGGCCAAAACCCCAGGGACCACAAGGAGTGGAACTGACAACTGGCTTACAGATAGAGCTCAGAGGGTTGTGGTTAGTGGCGCAGAGTCTAGTTGGAGGTTAGTAACAAGTGGTGTCCCTCAGGGGTCAGTACTGGGCCCAGTTTTGTTCAACATATTCATCAATGATCTGGATGAAGGGATAGAGTGTACCATCAGCAAGTTTGCTGATGACACAAAACTGGGAGGAGTGGCTGACACGCCAGAAGGCTGTGGTGCCTTACAGCGTGACCTCGCCAGGCTGGAGAGTTGGGCAGAAAGAAACCTTATGAAGTTCAACAAGGGTAAGTGTAGGGTACTGCACCTGGGGAGGAATAACCCCATGCACCAGTACAGGTTGGGGGCTGACCTCCTGGAGAGCAGCTCTGTGGAGAGGAACCTGGGAGTCCTGGTGGACAACAGGATGACCATGAGCCAGCAATGTGCCCTGGCGGCCAAGAAGGCGAATGGCATCCTGGGGTGCATCAAGAAGAGTGTGGCCAGCAGGTCGAGGGAGGTCATCCTCCCCCTCTACTCTGCCCTGGTGAGACCGCATCTGGAGTACTGTGTCCAGTTCTGGGCTCCCCAGTTCAAGAAAGACAGGGAACTGCTGGAGAGGGTCCAGCAAAGGGCAACAAAGATGATTAGGGGACTGGAGCACCTTTCTTATGAGGAAAGGCTGAGGGACTTGGGTCTCTTTAGTCTAGAGAAAAGAAGATTGAGGGGGGATCTTACTAATACATACAAATACTTAATGGGAGGATGCCAGGGGGATGGGAGTAGTCTTTTTTCAGTGGCGCCCAGTGATAGGACGAGGGGTAATGGGCATAAACTTGAACATAGGAAGTTCCATCTTAACATGAGAAGGAACTTCTTTACTTTGAGGGTAGTGGAGCACTGGAACAGGCTGCCCAGAGAGGTGGTGGAGGCTCCCACTCTGGAGACATTCAAAACCCGCCTGGACGCTGTCCTGTGTAACGTGCTGTAGGTGACCCTGCTCTGGCAGGAGGGGTGGACTAGATGATCTCCAGAGGTCCCTTCCAACCCTAACAATTCTGTGAATTCTGTGAGTGAAGCGCAGAGTGCCCCAAAACAGGGCAGGGGACTGACCGCCCACCCCAGGGACAAGGCAAAACCAAGCCTGACAACTGACCCCACTGGCCAGCGGCAGGTTTGTGTCAGCTCACGCAGCCCAGCGAGCCCCAGGACACAGCACGGGGCTGCCAGGAACTGGGATTCAAATGGCCGTACAGGGGACATCAGTGCCCATTCGCACTCATGAAACCACCTTTCAATCCTGCGCTCAGTTCTGGGTCCCCAGTACAAGAAAGACATCAGCTAAGCAGGGCAAGCTCTGGGGAGGGCCACCAAGACAGCTGGGGCTGGAGGAGAGATGGGGGCACGGGGCTGCTCCAGCCGGGGGCCGAGATGGCTTCAGGGGACTCTGGCAGCAGCTGACCTGTACCTGCAAGGGGCTGTCAGGGAGCCAGAGCCTGGCTCTTCTAGCCATGGGAGGGAAGAGCACGAGAGAAAACAGGCGTGACTGGCAATGTGAGGTTCAGACTCAGCGTAAGGAAAACTTTTTCCCCATGAGGGCTGTTCAGCGTTGGAGCAGAGGCCACGAGGCTGTGGGATCTCCCTCCTCGGAGGTTTTCAAAAGCCAATTGGATGAAGTCCTGGGCTGACACACAGCTGGCCCTTCTCCACACGAAGGGTTGGACCAGGACTCCCCGAGGTACCTTCCAGCTGGGATTAGCCTGTGACCCCATGTATGATGGCAACCATGCAGCCCCGAATTGATCAACCCCAGCAAACCAGTGTGTGGCTTTCAGGAGACAGCTCCTGCTTCGGGCAGAGGGAAGGGAGCAGACTGCAGCTTCATGGACTCTGCAAAAAATTTCACTCAGTGCTGCAGGGGAAACACACGCTCATTGGAAAAGGGGCAGGCAGCACCAAACTAGACAAATAACAGCATGTTGCAGCAGGCAGGACCTGGGGGTGGGGGCTTGAGGAGACCCAAAGGCTGACCCCATCTGGATTTCCATCACCAGCATAGGTGCCAGCAGGAGCTGGCAAGGACGCCTGTTGGGGACACAAAGCTGGGAAGTATCACAATGAAGAGATCAGGATGGGTCCAGAGTGTGGGGCACCTTCGGTACCAGGGAAGGTGGTGGGACCAGGGACAGGTCCTGTGCTGGGGGCAGAGCAACGTCTCTGTGTGGAAGTGAGCTCGGGTGAGAAGTGCCATGCCACAGCCAGGAGAGGATGGGCTCTGGATCGCTGCACCCACCACCAAATCTGGCAGCAGGGTGCAGGGACAGATGGAAAGGGCAGCCAGACTATCCCTGGGACTGGCAGAAAGGCAGCAAGAGCGAGTGGGCAGAGGGTGCAAAAGATCCCCAGCAGATGCAGCACTCATGACAAGACCTGCCACACCGTGCCCATGGCCCTGGTGACCAGCACTGCTAGCACTGCCGTGCCCATCACCCTGGTGACTACCACTGCTCAGCAAGTGCTCTCATGTCCATGCCGGCCCACGCTGCCAGCCCACCCTGCGGGGAATGGAGGGGTGCGCAGCCTTTCCAGCTCCCCCACTGCTGCTTTCTGCAGAAAGCAGCCCATTTCCACAGCCCTCCCTCCCCATCCGCCAGGAGAGACAGCTCCACTCCGAGGCCTCCAGGTCCCTGTGAGGCCACAGCACGGGACACCACAGCCTTCTCCGTGCCACCCAGGGGATCCTGCCCACAGTGGGTCTGCGCTGCAGACCCCGACCCCTGTGCCAGGGCTCCTGCCTGGTACGTGGGGTGGGGGCTGCTCTGCCTGGGGCATGGCCAGCCTGGGAGAATGATTGTCTCTCGTGGGGGACGGGTGACCCCGGTGCACACAGGCAGGTCCCACCAGGGTGGAGTTCGTCCTGCTTGCGTAGCACAGCCCAGGCCCTCGGTCTGCTCCGTCGGGATCCATTTGCGCCAGGATCCCTTGTGATGGCAGAGACCATCAGGGCCGGACAGCCCGGCTCTGCCAAGGGCTCAGCAGACGGGGCGTCCTAGCCCCTTACCTGCTTCCTGGCTTTGGGCTCCGGCCCTTCATCCTGGTGGCGCGCTTCAACCGCCTGTGGGAGCAACACCGTGGCTGCCCGGTCAGGGGCGCATGCAGCACCAGGAACCATGCTGGGCACCACAGCAGGCACCACACCATAGGCATCCTGCCTGTGCCCACTCCCCTGGGCCCCTCGCTCTGGCCACGGCACTGCTGGAGCATCCTTGCCCGGCTCAGCTGCAAACCTCCCCTTGGCACAGAGACCCCTGCACTCCACACTGGAGAGAAATGTGGAGGTGTGCCACTGCCAGGGAGCAAAAGCTACCCTCTTTTAAGCGGCATCTGCAGTAGTGTTTGGGGAAGGTGGGCAGCCATGGCCCTCCAGCTTGGTTAGCGAGTCGCTGGGGCTAGCAGTGGTGAGCAACAGGGATGGGAAGGATGCTGGGGAGCCACAATGCCCAACAGCATGGACCCCTGCTGTCCCCCCAGCACTGCCCCATGTCCCTGGCACTGTCCCCAGCTCTGCCATAGCCCTGTGCCTCTAGCTCTGCTCTGACACCCCAGCCCCACCGGCTCCCTGTTGGCCTCACTCACTTGTAGAAGTTCCTGTTCACCTTCTTCTCAGCAGGGAAGCCCATCATGCCACAGACGACACGGCTGTTCTGGCTGTTCCAGCCCTCGTCGCAGATCTGTGCCCAGCCATCCTTGTAGCGCACCTCCACAATGCCTTCTGTCACTGGCAGCTGCCTCCGGGCCCCAGACACCACTGGCCGCAGGCGGACCTCCTCCACGTGGCTCTGCTCGGTCTGCAGGGCACAGGTCAGCACAGGCTTCCGCTGCACCCCACCACCCCACCTCCCTGCCAGCCCTTTCCCAGGGATGTCCTGAGGATGCAGGTACCCACGGGAGACGGGGTCTCAAGTCTCAGGTCCCTGGGCAGCCATGGACCTAATCCCATCCCTGTGCAGCCAATGTCCCACATCCCCCTGACCCCCTGGGTGCACCTCGTGGGAGCGCAGCCAGAAGACCCAGTGCTGCCGTACCATCACCTCGGGACCCTGCACCTGGAGGGAGGATGCCCAGACTGCCCCATGCCCAGGCACCCACACAGAGCAAGACAGCAGCAGGGGGTGCCAGGACACTGGGCACAGCCTGCAGGACACAGCCCCAGCCCTCCTCGCCTCGCAGGAGACCTGCCATCCCATGCCCAGGGCTGTGCCATGTCCCCACATCCAAGCCACATCCTAAGCAGAACCTTGTCCTCCACAGGCACTGTGGCTGGGGTGGACAGGTGCCCCAGCTGGGAAGACAAGGACAGTCACAAGAGCTAGTCTGAAAAACAGAGAGCCCGGAAGAGAGAGAGGGAGAGGCCAAGCGTGCCAGAGGATTGTAGTGTGGAGGAGCAGGTCTGAGACTGAGGGTCCCCGGCAGGCAGGAGAAAGAAGAAAACAGGCTGCAGGGGTGTGAGACGGACCCCCTGGTGCAGAGAAGCTGCTGGGGGAAGCGGCAGCTCGGGATGCTCAGGGGAGGCCATGGCAGCGCTGCACTCCCATGCAGGGCAGGGGAGGGATGTGCCTGCTACAGGGTGGCCCACAGCAGTGCCAAATGCTCCCTACAGCCCCAGAGCCTGACTGGGCGCACCCCAGGGAAATAGGTGCTCAAATGACTCAGGGGCACTGTGGATCCTGGGAGGCAGGGCAGTGGGATAGCATGCTCCCCTTTCCATGGGGATATGAGGACAACCCATGTGCTAGGGCTGAGGGAAGGCACCGACAGAGTCCCCTGGTCCTGCATATGGGAGCCTGCCAGTGTGTGGTGGTTATGCTGCCTCCCGACTATTTAGGAAGGACTGAGGGCAGGCTGAGCTGCCCCATGGCAGGGCTGCCCCATGGCAGGGCTCCTGGCAAGTTGGTTCTGCGGGATCCTGGTCCCACCCTGGCCAGCGGCTTCCTCACCTCAATGACGTTGGAGTCCTTGAAGCCTGGGATGCGCTCATCCTTGCAGATGACACCTGCATCTTCCTCATGGCTGCAGTCGCTGTTCCCCCAGCCCCGGTGTTTGCAGTCCCCAATGCTCTTCTCACCTCCGGCACAATTCACATTGTCCAGCCAGATCCGCCCTGCCAGACAGTGGGGACAGGGGTGAAAGGGGACAAGCCCATGCAGCATCCCCTGGGAGCAGGGAAGGTACCCCTGGAGCATGGCCGGAGACCACGCAGATGTACAACAGGAGCGTGGATGTTGAGCTGGGGGCAGCCCTCCCTTGGCACAAAGCTGAGGCCGGCGAAATGCCAGGACTATAGCCCTGAGTGGGGGATCTGCAGATGGGGCGTTCCCACCTCCCCAAGGGTCTGCTCTGCCAGACATAAAGCCCCCACGTAATCTGTGCCCCGGGGTTTGTACAGCATTTCACCCACTACACCGCTGCACCATATGCCCACACCAGCCCGGACCTGCAGCCCCCCTACACCACCCAGGGGCGTGCGCAGCCCCGCTGCTGTCGTGCATGCCTGCGACTACCCTGGATACACGCACAGTCGCTCACGCTCAAACACGCAGAGTTTCCCAGCCCGCTTTGCGTGTGCATACACACACACGTGCACGCACGCACACACTGCCGGGCACTCAGCAAACACAAGAACTGCTTGCCCCTGCCCCCCTGCCCCCACCTGTGCATGCAAACCTGTTGTGGCACTGGCCCCCGGCCCATGGAGCATGGGGGGGGGGTTGCTGTGCCCACCGCCCCTCTCTTACCAACGCCTTTGCCATACTTGGCGCTGTGGGCCCAGCCGGTGGCGGCCACAAAGCCGCGGGGGCGG